GTAATTCTTTATTCTTATATAGGGGACACACAAGAGGAGGTTCCATGGAATATTCTATCCCCAAAAGGGCAAAGGTGTAGGATTACAAAGGAACAGGTGAGTGTAACTCAACCCCAGCAGGTGACACCTACTCCTGGAGCCACGCCTTGTTATCTAAGCTGCGGTAAAACCCAAGTTACTGAGACCTGGCACTATCGCACMAGACTGAACGCAATAATTGTTCAGAACCCCGTCCATCAGGACTTAAAGGCATCTGCATCCAGGGCAGCTCCTGACAAATACCCACTTGGGATTATCTATAATTAATTCATACTGTCACCAGTCTGCCTGATTGAGTGATGTTCCCTAGAAACTTTCAGTTGCATGACGGACTGATCAAGAAATAGTTTTCCCAGATGAATATGTTAGAGGGAGAAGGGCTTGGGATTTTAGCTGTTTCCATACAGTGATGATGATGACAGAATCTAATATATGGAAAAAGGTACAGATAGGTGGATATTAATGACATAAAGTGATAGAATTGGTCAGTGGATTACAAATCTTAAAGAAATTAAAGAATTATTGTGGTAAAAATATGCAGGCAGGCAGTRAGAGTTTGATTAAAAAATGGGCTTTGTGAATTTGCAGACTTGGAGATGGTGAATGTTTCTGCTGATGATAAAAGAAGAAAGGAAGAATGTAGGAGAAAGTTTATGAGTGGAATTCAAGAGACTAGAAGATGACATTGGAAAACCCATACAAATTGATGTTGAAATCAGTAGGCAAAAGGACAGGAATTGAAAAAGAAAAACAAAGTAAACTGCTAAAATCTTGAATACATGGAGAATGACCAAGCAGTTGGCAGATGACAAGCCAGATGGTGCAAGCCTCTCAGGARAGGAGGATTTTTTTTACAATAAGGGTTGGGAGGGAATAACTATCTGGATGTGGTATTGAGGAAACATTAGCCAGCACCTCCTGATCCTACAGAATAAGCAACAGGAATGTGCTGCAGAGAAAGCAAGTTTCAGGAGTTGGATAAAACATTCGGAGGAAACTGTTCCTCGGGAAATGAAATAATATATGCTGATAGTACAGCCTTCAGAGTATAAAAGAACAAGCAGATTTCTTTTATTTTTTTATTTTTATTTTTTTTTTAAAGAGAGAGTGTGAGAGAGGGGGACAGAGAGAGAGAGAGAGAATTTTAATATTTATTTATTTTTTCTTAGTTCTCGGCGGACACAACATCTTCGTTTGTATGTGGTGCTGAGGATCGAACCCGGGCCACACGCACGCTAGGCGAGCGCGCTACCGCTTGAGCCWCATCCCCAGCCCCAGATTTCTTTTATAATCAAAACCAGGGGATAGTAGTGTGGCTCTATAGCAGAGTGTATGCTTAGCCTGTGAAGCCCTGGGTTCAGTTTCCAGAACCAGAAAAAAAAATCTTCTTGGGAAGGACAAGGAGCTACTAAGAGCTTGTAGCCCTGCTCCCTGCCCTCTATAACTCACCTTTCCTATCGTATCACATCATTATAACCCCTTTATCATTCTTGCCAGAGGATGGTCTCACAGCTCTTAATTCCACCTTTATACACATGAGACCAGTTTACAATCCATTTATGGATTACTCTCTCCCTTTCTTCCTTCTGTTCTTCTTGCCTTTCCTCTGTTTTTTTTCCTTTAAGTCATCCATTCATTCAGTGAGGCTTTCAAAGCCCAGAAGGAAATAAATATAAAGCAATATGCAAAAAAAGTATTGTTGCTTTTAAAGAATTGTTACTTATCATGAATTCTTAAGTTCCTTAGTGGGAGAACCACATATGTAGTTCTTTTGAGTTCTGTTCCCTACCTCTTCATAATACCTTCAAAAACTTCTAAAGACCTAAAGGAGGAAGGTCCAGAGAAAAAAATTTCCTCATTACCTGCAAGACCTCCCTTTCAAGTTCAAGTTTTCTATATGAAGGCCTGCCCTTTCCCTAACTGACAGCAGGGATGCCCTATTGTTTCAGGAAAAACTGTATCCCATGGACAACTATATATAAATCTGAAGCCAAGCCTAATGAGGCCAGAATTCTACTTTCTTTTCTTTTTCTTTTTCTTTCTTTCTTTCTTTTTTTTTTTTTTTTTGTTTTGCTTTTTGCAGTACTGGGGATTGAAGATTGAATTTGGATTAGGTAAGCACTTGACCCCTGAGCTACATCTCCAGCTCTCACAGGTCAGAGTTCTAAACATAATATCTAGACTCACACACAGAACTTGGAGATCAGGTTATTACATAGAAAATGTCAGATGTCATATTGAGACCTTTATTCCAACTATTAATAAGGATAGTTTTGTAGAGTGTATTACAAATACTTTGCTATAGGATGATTTTCCAACTGTATTCCAAATTTGATTTCCAAAATTAAATACCAGGGACTAGAAAACATGGTATTTCCTACATGTGTAAGACATGCCTCAGTGTACTACATAAGCATTTTAATATTGACTTTTCAACCACAAAAGGCAAATTGTAAAAAATTATAGTAATGGCAAATTAAATTTGGGAGAGGGTAAAATAATGCAAACTTGGTGCCTGAATAAATTAAAGCTTTCAGTCTAACAAGACAGCCTTAATTAAGTTTCTCTTATGACAATGCACATCTGCCTAAATTCAAACATATAAAGATGAAGTGGCAAAACAATAACAAATTAACTATCCTGTGAAAATAAAAAAACAGCAACAACTTAAATGAACGGCATTATTTATAGCCTGCTAAAGATTGTGGGAGATTTTTCTTATTGGCAATTACTGTGCAGTAATGTAATCCTCAAGAATAGTGTTTTAGAAATAGTCATTCAAGAACCTATTAGGAATTATGAGGAGAAACTGGGAGGCAGGAGAAGTAGAAAAGCGAGGTAAAATACTTTCTTCACATTCTGACAACAAAAGTATTTGTGGTATTGGGTCATTGAACTGAGCTGTAGCTTTAGCAATAAGGATAATGAAGATGTATGAAAGATGGAGAATAGGAGAGCACCAGACAATCCTCTGGCACTTCACAAAAATCTTTGTGCCTCAGGCAAGTAGTCAGGTGGGTTTATGAGAAGCATTGGCCACTTGGAAACATACACACTCACACACACAGGGTCCCTGACTCAGAACACTTAGCTCTTTCCCTCTCCAAGATGATTCACTAATCCAGTATAACAAACATTTAATAACATCTTATTTGCCAGGCAACATGATTATTAGGTACACACATTTTTAAAAATTATTTTTTGACCTTCAAGGAACTTGGAATTGAGTAGGAGACATACCAGCAAATCCAGTCAGCACAGTGTGAAATTTGATATAATCACGAGGGCAGTGAGGCCACAACAGTTCAGTGGAAATAAGAGAAGGAGTGCCTAAGACAGAGCCTAAGAGTCAGTGGCAGGGAAGGCCTCCCAGGTGATATAATTCCTGAGCTGACTATTGAAGGAGAAATAGGAGTTTGCTAGACAGAAAAGGGCTACAAGGCATGATAGGTAGAGAAAATAACATAGGTAAGGGCAAGAAACAAACAAACAACAACAACAAAAAACAGTGCTGTCTTGCCACGTTACCTCATAATTCAGCCAGGAAACAGGTGGCACAATAGTAGGTTAACTGAAAAGAGCTGAATAAAGTGACTATTTCCAGAGATGTCAAAGTCAAAGGCAGTAACAAAGGATGTTGAAGCATCTAGGGAATAGCAACAGTGTGAGGCCATTAACTACCTGGCTGGAAGAAATATTTGCTAGAATGGTACTATCAAAACTTGGTGACAGCTGTAGCCATGGGAAAGGGACTACCCAAAAGGAACCTTAACCAGAAGCAGAGGAATACAACCACTGCTGTGCCATGCCCAACAGAGACAAAGGAAGGAATAGATATCCTTATTTCCCTTTCCTCCAGTCCCCATCTAGTATCCCCCATTGGCTGACCTCCATTTGGAGAGTTTTCTCCAAAGCCCAGATTCCTAAAGCTGAGAAAAGAGTAGAGACGAATCCTTGGAGGGACAAACTGAGAATCACCAGCACTTCTCAGATTCATATCCCAGGTCCAAATAACTTCCTGTTTCTTGAATAAGTATAGCAGAGGCATATACCTGTAGCTAATATTGGAATACGTTTTCTGTCTTAGCACAAGTGTCCATAGAATGGGAGGCTTGACCAACAGAATTGTATTTCTCAGTATTGGTGGCTGGAAGCCCAAGATCAGAGTACCAGCATGGTGTGGTTCTGGTGATGACTCTTTTCTGGCTTGTAGACAGCCATCTTTTTGTGGTAGCCTCACATGGTAGAAAGAAGACTAGAGAGTTTTGAGGTCTCTTTTATAAGAGCATTGATCCCATTCATAAGGGCCCTTCCTCATAACCTAAATTATATCCCAAAGGCCTACCTCCTAACATCAACACAATCAGGATTGGGATTTCAACATAAAAATTGGGGGAAGGGAACACAACATTCAGTCCATAATACTGCTCTTTTTTATTTTTTCTAAACTTTTGGTGSGGGGGAGTTGTTGAATTACATGACAGGCTGAGATTCTTAGGATTCACCTTGCTGTGCAACCTCTGTCCTTCTTTTGTCTTATATATATCTTTATTTTATTTGTTAATTTTTATGTGGTTCCTGGGATCGAACCCAGTGTCTCATGCAAGCTAGGCAAGCACTGAGCCACAACCCCGACCCTCTCTAGTCTTTTTATATGACTGTTTTTACCTATAATGATGCAATAATTATGCTGTCAGATATTTAAAAACATAATCATAGATCATGTGAGATGATATACCATATCCATCTAAAAATATTAATGTTCTGTCAGTGTATGAAACAGGTTTGCATGATAGTCTTATAGAATACTTTTGTTCATTTGAGACACTTTATATTTGATTTGTAAATTCTAGTTAAATCACATTAAAATATCTTCAAATTTTATTTATGGTATTACATTGTTTGAAGGAGAGGAAGATAATACATTGTCTTATACAACCCCTTTTCTCTTTATTTTTCAGATCAATAACTCGATCCTATTACCGCAACTCAGTTGGTGGATTTTTAGTATTTGACATTACTAACCGACGATCTTTTGAACATGTAAAAGATTGGCTAGAAGAAGCAAAAATGCACGTACAGCCATTTCAGRTTGTATTTCTACTGGTGGGACATAAGTGTGATTTAGCTTCACAACGTCAAGTGACAAGGGAAGAAGCYGAAAAACTGTCRGCAGACTGTGGAATGAAGTATATAGAAACCTCAGCAAAAGATGCTACAAATGTAGAGGAATCCTTCACAATCTTGACAAGAGACATATATGAACTTATTAAAAAGGGAGAAATTTGTATTCAGGATGGCTGGGAAGGAGTTAAAAGTGGTTTTGTTCCAAATACTGTGCATTCTTCCGAGGAAGCAGTAAAGCCCAGGAAGGAGTGCTTTTGCTGACTTCAAACATGCCAAAGAACMAGAACAAATTGGATGTCGCTTCAGGATAAATATCAACATTAATGGCAGAAGGATGCAATGATAGCATTTTAAAAAGTTAGGCCTATACTAACACTATTTTGTAAGCTATTTGATTCAGAGCACTATGCTTGTTACACTACAAGATTGGGTATTTTGCTAAATTATCAGGCGAGGCAGACAACTTTTTGAAACTGGAGTATCTACATAATTTCCTCCATTCTTACTTCTTACCTTGTTAGCATATAGCTGACCTTAGTGTCCAGATATGTCAGTATTATGCACTTTTCTTGACAGTCCAAAATGGATTTTTTTGTCTGATTGAAGATTTTATTAGGAGTTATATTACCTTGAGTTAATTAATATTGAATATTAAAGTGCATTTAAAAGTATGCTGTTCAATTGCAAAGTAAACAGTCTCAGAAGTATTTTTTAAGAATATAACTTTTTTTAATTTTTTTTTTT